TAGAAAGTTGCAAGAACTTCATAGAATACTCTTAGGTAATACTTCTTTCCTTTACTCCATAGTCATAATTTACTACACATGTTTTATAAGTTTTCCGGTTTAGTGTGCATTTATGTCTGCAGGTTCTGGGGCTTGAATACAGGCTGTCCCTGAGCTTTTTTTTGCTCCAGGCTGATGCTCTACCTTTTAAGACCCAGCTCCACTTTGGGGCTTTTGGCGGTTAATTGGAGATAAGAGTCTCATGTCTTGCTGGATTTACACCACTATTGTCAGACCTTACCTTCCTGAGTAGCTAGGAGTAACCAGCATGAGCCACCAGACCCTGCCAATTGTCCCACTTCTTAAAGGTTCTGTATATACTAATGCTCTCACTTAAGATCTGAGTTTAGTTAGGATGGAAAGCTCATGGTTTGGAGTTTCAATTTGCTAGTTATTTTCCTCAAACAGCCGATGTTACCCCCCAGGTGTTCTCATTTGTTTCACTAGTTTTGCTCATGGGAATGCTCAATAATGCATAGAGATTCACAGAGCTCAAAGTAAACCTTCCTGACTTAAAGTATATTATGTTCTTTGCTAGAGAACTGGCATGCCTAGTGGGCTTATCCCACTTAAAAATTTATTGTTACTATAATTTATCTCATTGCTTTATCTCTTGAGAGCTCTGGTTCTGAGGTCAGATGACTGGAGTTTGCCTCTTAGATTAAAAAAAAAATCATGGTTGAAGGAAGATATGTTAGTTAAGCACCAGACTTTAGCACAGAGTTACAAGGTAGCCAGAGAAAAGAGGATAGTATTTCTTTGCTCTAAAAAGAAGTCTATCATTTCACAAGGGCTCTGAGGAAAATAAACAATGGAGTCTTTCAAAAATGGCAGTCACTTTTTTTTTGTCATGGAACTTGAACTCAGGGCCTGGGTGCTGTTCCTGAGCAATTTTGATCAAGGCTAGTGACCTACCACTTTGAGCCACAGCTCTACTTCTAGTTTTTGAGTGGTTAATTGGAGATGAAAGCTTCACAGGAACTTTTCATGTCTAGGCCGGCTTCGAACTGCTATTCTCAGATTTCAGCCTCCTGAGTAGGTAGGATTACAGGTGTGAGCCACCAGCACCTGGCTAAAATAATCTGTGTGTGTGTGTGTGTGTGTGTGTGTGTGTGTGTGAATAAATGTTCTAGGAAGCTAATCTTCCCATATTGGTTTTATATAGGTACAACTTAGAGAATTTTGATGAATAATTATAATTCAACTAGCTGCAAAACATCTCAGGAGACAAGATGATCCTCAAACTTTGTTCTACGTAAATCCACCATGGTATCTCAGAAGCTGCTATAAGGTGTAAGCAAAAGCTCACTGCATGTTTCCTTCGCTCCCCCAATACACATACAAAGTTATTCAGAACCATGCAGTTTATTTATTATTTATTTAGTATATCCCTTCAATATACATAGAGGCATTGACTACTATACATATTTATTGGTTCAGTAAGGAGCTAAATGGATGTAATAACTAGTTCTTATTCCTAAAGGAAATAAATTTTGTAAAATTACTGCCATACAGAATACTTTGAAAATACAGGCACAAGTTGTCAAGGCCAAATGACTATTATATAAAGCAAGTTATTTCAATTCCCGGATTTCTAGCTTCCTCAATGATAAAGGGGGATAGATAATTCCATCAACCTAGCAGGGTTATTTTAAGCTTTAACAATAATGAGTGATGCATTAAACACAAAGAATGGCGCTTTTATTATTGTGTTTCAATGTTACCACTAGAAAGTAGAATGGGGACAACACCTAAATGATAGCTATTATTACAGCCCTTGAATAATATACAGTGCAGACAAAAAACATGGTTCATAACACCAAGACACAAAGAAAAACACAACTTACTACAACTTTTGAGTTTATAGTTAAGAGTGTCTACATTAAAAATCAAGAGAAATTCCAAATAAACAACCTAATGATGTACCTGAGTGTCTTAGAAAAGTAAGAACAAGCCAAACCCAGAAAGAGAAAATGCCCTGGGTAGAAATTTTGAGATACACACTAAAACAATAATACAAACAATGAATCAAATAATGATAATTCTTTAAAGCAATATATAAACAATCTAATTCAGAGACAGAAGACACAAAATTAATAAAATTAAGAGATAAAAAAGAAGACAGCATAGTGGTTACCACTGAAATCCACTGAATCACTAAAGAATATATTGAAAATTTATGATCCATTTAATTGGAAAATGCAGAATAAATGAAAAACATTGCCAAATATAATCACCTAAGAAAACATTGAACCAAAAGATATAAATAATATAAACAGACAAACTGTAAACAATGAACATATTTATAACTATTGCATCCAGTTATACTTTATAAATAAATATAAGCACAAGTTCATAGGGTCAAACAACTAGTAATCAAGAATTTAATAAAGAAGAATAAAGTAGCAATAGAGATTCATACAACAAAGAAAAGTCCTACAACATTATAAACATACAAGCACAATTTCTATGTGACTAGTCTTCCCTAGCCTTGATAAAAGTTTGCAAGTTTATTCTTTGGTTTATTCCCTGCCCTGACATAGACCAAGTACTTGTGACACTATATGAAAAAAGAAAAATTAGGTGAAGCAATGCAATAAAAAAAAATTCTTTCCCCAGTTATCTCTGCTTTCATGCAATATTATAAAGTGTACTGTAGGGCCCCCATCAAGAAACTGAAAAATGAAAAATTCCGTAAGCTCTCAAAAGGTAAAAATTTAAACACACACACACACACACACACACACACACACACACACACACACACACACACACACACACCACAAACAAACAAAAATCAGAATGCTGTTACCTGAAACGAAGATAATCCTTAACTAAACAATGTAGTTGAATAGCATTTATAATATCATGGAAGTAAAAGCATCTACTTCCTACTATACTGATCTACCAAAGTTAAAATGTAACTAGTACACTGAGTTACATGAAACTATTTTTGTGTATCATAACTAGTATATATTTCAAACATATACCAAGGGCATAAAAAATGGTGTGTAAAATGGTGTGTTTTTTTGTGTGTGTTTGTTAGGAACCAAAAGAGACACATGCTAAGATAATGCTTAAGACTCAAACAAGAAGAAGAAAATATAATCACACAGATTTGACATCTATTTATTAAATAAATGACAACCTTAATCTAAATCTCAAACAGTTGGTTAAAAGTGGTAGGGAGTTGTCCCAAAAAAGTGGTTTATGTAAAAAGAGGGGAACTCATTTCTGTTTTGTTTGTTAGTTGTTTTATTCTATTAGTAATAAATTTGATGAATTATTTGAATCTTTACTACATAAGTCTGTAATAAATAATGGATTATATGTAAATAAAAAGAAAATTGTCTCTAAAATTTAACAAAAAAGGGACAAAAGCCAGATGCTCGTGGCTCACACCTGTAATCCTACTCATTAGGCTGAGATCTGAGGATCACAGTTCAAAGCCAGGAATGGCCATGAGACTCTTATCTCCAATTTAAAAAAACACCAGAAAACCAGAAGTAGCACTGGCTCAAGTGGTAGAGTGCTAGCCTTGGGCTGAAGAGCTGAAGGACAGTGCTTAGGCCCAGTGTTCAAGCGTCATGATGGACAAAAAAATAAAAAAGGACAAAAGAGAGGAAGAAGAAAAAAGAAAACAAGAGTATAAAAAGGAGATGGTGATGTACTATAGATTCTTTAATGTCTCTACAGGCCCTTCCTGAATAAAGGAACACTACTTGTACCATATTCTTATTAGAGATAGACATTCTCAAAACCATTCTTCCACAAAATAAGATCAAAACGTGAGTTTACTTCTTCATCATTTCATTAGTATTGTCAGATGGTTATCTTTTTAAGGTTACATATGCAGAAAAATTCTCCAGTTGCTCATTACTTGGTCTTTGGATAAAATAAGATACCTTTTTTTGAGTAATATTCAGTTTTAAAGTTGGTAATTATATCAGTAATCTCAGAGGCATTCAAAACACTATTGCACAGCCTTATTTTTGGTGGTAAAAGAAAATGAATAGATTAAACCTAAAAACCTATAATTTAATGGAATAAAGGTAGCAAAAAAGATAGGAATGATTTGTGTATATCCATGTGAAAAGTAAGAAACAGACTCACTAAAATGAAAAGAAAAAATATTTGAAAAAGTAGTAAATGAATTTTCTGTCATTTCAGCCCTACCCAATTCTGCATCTTGAACAGTCTTTCAATTATACTATATGACACATTATCATTCTTACTGTGTCCACTACACTGGTTGAAATGACAGGTGAATGTGTTTACAATCTACGTGCAGAAGTTTACCAACATGAACAGCATTATTTTGTCAGTATTTTTCCAAATAAGCCAAATGCCCGGAGTATGAATAAGATCTTGTAGTAAGCATCTGATGAATTCTTTTCCAACTTTTTTAAATGTGATGAGTCAGATCCCAGACCTCTAAGATAATTTTGTTTTCATTAAGCAGATTTTAGCAGCCACCTAATGCCAATTCCCTTTCTAAAACACCACAAAGACAAAAATCCTATCCTATAAAGATACAAGCATGCTTTTCCTTTGTTAGGCAGTACAGTGAGTCGATTAAATTAAAAACAATACTATTGCTGGCATTTTGATATGACAGAAATCAGAAGTGATAAGCTATAAGGGGAGGAGAAGAGAAAATCTTAGGGTGGTCAAGTTAGAAAGAAAAAAAGAGAACTTTCTTGAAGAATTGAGAAAGACTCTAAGAAAAGAGATTACAGTATCCATGTTTGTATGTCCATAGCCTACCACAGAAAGAACCTGGTACACCAAGGAAATACTCGAAAATACTTGCTGAGTTAACGTAATGATTGAAACATGAAGCTACTCAATGAAACAAGAAAGGAAACGCCATATGGTATCAATACAGCAGTCTTAGATGGTCAGAAAAACAAAACAGAACAAACAAAACCAGCCTCCTTTCTGAGAACAACAGCTCCTACCTGTTGTTGCACTGGTACCTGCTGTACCACCTGTGTGGGCACTGCTGCTTGACTAGCCACAGATGTCTGTAAAGTCACTGTCGAACCTGTGTCTGACCCAGCCTCTGATGTCTGCATGATGGTTTCTGAAATACATGAAAACAAAGTTCAAAATACTTTCCTTGCATGACTACATTCACCACATTTATTCTTAATATCCTATATTAAGACTAACTCATAATACCTCTCAATCCAACAGACTGCCAGGATAATTCAGAATGTTTACAATCATTCAGGCCACTTTTAAAATAAGTACAGAAAATTATTAATCCATATTTTTATTTTTTAAAAAAACCCTCCCTAGAACCTCTTTGCTTGAAATTAGAGCCTCAACTTCCCTAAAAACATCAGTGCTTAGGTCTCAGCCATTATAAATTATTTCAATCTATTTATGATTCAAAATTATATGTATACTCTTAATTCTCAGAATATAAATTTCCAAGTGGATACAAAACACATCAATGACTACACTTTCTGATGGAGGAGGAAAATATAGAATAAATATTAAGGTCCTTTCCAACTTAAAAACTTACTGTCCAGTGATATTTATCACAAGGAGTGAGTTCCCTCATTACCTCAAGCATCCTGACCTTTTGCAACTTATAAATAATACTTCTAAAATAACTATAAATTTCTTTGTAATTGAGCACAGATCAACATCATAATTTTTTCTGTGAATGAGAACAAGGTTCACTGTGTTACCCTAAGGAAAAATATTACATTATGTTTTAAATCTGTGAAGAATATAATGAACATTAATTTTTCCATAAAAAAAAAATTCTCATAAAACAGTTGCTTTGGGGAGAAAATGTTTCCTTCTCAGTAAGTTCCTACTTTCTCATTCAACTTTCAAAATGGACTTCTGAAGATGTTAAAAGTGGCTCTTTTTATTTTATAAATGAGGAAACAAAACCCAGAGATTTTTGAGACTTATTTAACAGAGATTGGGGAAGAGTTGAGACTAGTCTTTTTCATTTCAAACTCCAGTTTAATTTTCTGTTTAGAATGACATTGTCATCTCTGTGGAAATCTGGGTATTTTCTTATTCTTTAAGTGGTACAAATCCTAAATCAATACAATAAATATCTCTTCCATAAGCTGGCTCAGGAGGTGAGAACTACAATAGTCTATCATTTTGTAAGTCTTTTCCTAATGCACACAAGAGACATAGCAGCTATTATTGATCGCTTAACAAATGCTTCACATGTTAATTCACAAATTCGTCCATTTAAGAATCCAATGAATTGGTATGCCTTTAATTTTTCATCTACTATTGAGGTACTTCACGTACATAAAGGAGAGGAGTTAGGGATGGCCAATTTGAAAGTGTTGAGGAATGTGGCTAACGTCTGATTCATATTTATTAGCTAAAATTGAGCTCTAGAATATTCCAGTTATATAGGAAAGCCAATCAGTAAACAGTTTTGAGTTTTCCAAAATAAGCTGGAAATTTAAGGTTTTTTACATAAAATTCTAAAAACGGTGGCTCACTACTTAAAGATATTTTAAGATGCTATAAGGTGTTTTACCTAAACAAAAACATGTACATGCACACATGCCACTGTGGCCTAAGTTTACAGCTAAAACTGTAGAATGAGAGTCTAAACAAAATGCTTGCCTGATTAAGATTACTTTTCTTTTTGTTTCGTTTGTCTATGTCTTTAGGAGTGTAAGGGGAAGCACAGAAATGGAGGAACAAAGGGTAATAAACATATTCAACAATGGAGCTCACTAGACACTGTTGAAAATGAACAATACGACTTGTGGGATGGGAAGGAAGAACTACAGGGGAAGGAAAGGGTAGCATCATCCAAAAGGAATCAATATTTTCAACACTTGGGAAGTGAGAGCCCTAACCTATGCACAAGGCCATAGATTCATTCCTGAGCAGTACTAAAAATAATTTTTTGAAAGAGAAATGCACAAACTAGAAACCTTATCAATACATACTCTTGCTTCTATCACAAAGAGAAAGTGTACGTACTTATAAACTATTGATGCCTTTTATGCTATGCAGAGATCAATTTCTAAGAGTAGGTAAGAAAGGAGGAATAATTAGCTATTAGAAGAACCTGATGAAAGTTTTTATTTGTTTGTTTGTTTTTGGTGGGGTTTTTTTTGGTCTCACTAACATTAAGATAGTTAGTGGATTCTGGCAGTTTAAATGTCGATTAGGTGGTGAAGTTATTGCTTCTCCTTTAAGCTGCACATTCAAAGGTGGATATGCTCCCCCCAGTTTACTCCAAAGCTGAGTGCAAAGTCTGCGAAGGCTAATTTGTGTACTTTCAGAAGTAAAAGTAAGATTTTCTTTATTTTCCAAGTGACACAATTGAGGCTCAGAGAGGTTAAGTTGCTTACTCAAGGCCATACAAGTAGGAAATAAGAAGAAATATTTGAATGTCCTATTATAAAGCCCATGTTTTAAACTCTGGGAAGATACTGGAAGCATTGTGCTTCACCAGAAACAGAGAGGAATTTCAATCGCAGTAGAGAGAGAGAAGCAAGCAAGTTAAATTTTAGAATGAGAGAAAGAGGGAGGAAAAAGAAAAGGATGAAAAGAGAAAGAGCGAATGGGAGGATAGAAAAGGGGAAAGGAAAGGAGAGAAGTGAGGCCTGAAGCAGGAAGGGAGGAGGCTACAAAGAAAGGAAAAGAAGTATTTAACAAGAGTAATTTTATAAAATCAGAGGAGGGATATCAAGGCAGTAGATACAAGACAATAGTTTGTAACACTTCAAAGCTAGAGTGCTATGAAGAACTTTCTATCCATTCTTTGTCCTATCTATACCACACCAAAACTGGCACCAAACACCCAATAAAGCACACAGAAGCATCTACAATATCATCTGATACAACCAAGAGTCCTAGAGTATCAACAGTTTGCTCCAAATTTGGCTTCTGGGCCATAGGATTAGAGAAACAAATTAAGAATTGCACCCCTTAGCGTTTCTTGGCTTGGTTTTTGCCTTTATGCACAGGACTCTTCATTCTTGTCTTATTTCACTATTTTCTTCAGCTTTTAGGAAGAGTATTTTTCTACCAAGCCTCATAACTATAGGGAGTTTCAATCACAAACCTCCCATAAATCCTAACTCTAATTAGCTCTATCATTTGGTGAGTCCTTTCCAAATGCTTCGAACCAGGCCAACTGCTCTCAATACATTTTCTAGTTTACTCCTCACAAGAATCCCATGATGGAGGTGTTATGATCCCTATCTAACAAATTAGAAAACTGAGACACAAAATTTACCAAAAGCAACACAATGAGAACGAGGAAGACTCTAAATTCGATCTACATGTGTCTGACTTTAATACCCATGTTAACCACTATTCACAAAACTTCACAACATCACTATTTCAGGGCCTCCAAATAAAAAGCCAGAGACTGCTGAAATGAACAGCAGTCCGTCCTTTGGACTCTGAATATAAACAATAATGGAAATGCATCCCATCTCTCTGATAATAAAATTTCCCCTCTTTTTACTGAGACTATAATAAAATTCAACTGTTAAGTTTTTTCCACAAAATCATGTCAATTAATTTTGAAGACTTACTTTTTTAACAGCAAATCAGAATGTAAAGCATGTTTTAAAAGTGGTGCCAGGCACCAGTGGTTGACATCTGTAAATCAAGCCAGACTGAGCAAGAAAGTCCATGAAACTTCTCTCCAATAAACTACTCACAAAAAGCCAGCATGGAGTTCTGATTCAAGTGGTAGAGCACTAGCAAAAGAAGCTCAGAGACTGCACCTAGGCCCTATGTTCAAGCCACCAAGATTGGCACCAAAAAAAAGAGAGAGAGAAGTATGATTGTTCTGAAAATTCTGCTAAACAGATGACTTAACCCCACTGACATATGATGAGTATTCCAACATTTATACAAAGTAAGGATCATCACTTGAGGGCAGTGTCTAAGCATGCTCTATTAATAGGATTTGTTGTACTCCCAGCACAAAAATTCATGAGTACAGTTGAGGTGTTCTCATTCATTCATACTGCAGGGGTTTCTGGTGCTTTGTTTATGTTTGGGGGTAATTTGGTTAGTTTACTTCCTTCACAGCTCCTTTTCACTTGATATTTGTTTATCAGTCACAAATAGAGTCACAATAATCCATTTTGATAAGCTAAATAAACCCTGCATTTGTCAATGATGCAGGCCGTATGTAAATGAGTTGTATATTCTTGCAGGAGAGACAAGCACAATTTCCATCCAGTCATCCCTGCCTAATGTGGCTGTCAGGTGTGTCATGAGCAACAGATGCTTGTTTGACAAAGGACCTTTTTATTCTGGCTAATTAAGCAGCTGGACACACCCGCCTGCTAAAGGTTCTGCTTTGTACAGCCAGCTCTGGTTGAATCATGCAAATCCACAGCTAAATAGGCCACATTTTGAAAGAAGGCTAATTAACCCCTAGGAGAAGGAAAAGAGTATTTCAAAATCCCAGCTGCTAAATGCAACAAGATTAGCATTCCTTCAACCTGATGGGCAAACCTAGGCAAATCAAATGTGTTTTGAACAAACATGTATTATTGCAAGTTTTAAGGCATTTAAATGTTCTTTGTGAGACTTTCTGAGGATTATTTAATAAAATCAAATTCACAGCTGGATTCCTTTTTAGCACACACTATACATGCCAGATTAAAAAGTTTAATAGTCTGACCTAATCAATGGCTATATGACTGGCCTAGCTTAAAAACATGTAGTGTCCACCTAATTTTCATTGTGATATTCCTTCTTGCAATAACAGACTATCCCAAACTGCAAACTTTGATTCCACTTCACTTACTGTGTTGTTTTAAACACTAAAGAATGCAAAAAGTTCTCTGAATAGAAAAAAAAGACAATGTTTCAAGTGAAACAGAGAATTTTTTTTTCTTTTTTCCTTAGCACAGAAAGACCACAACAGGATCTAATACATATTTAAAGCAAATTAACCAGACTTATTATAATATTCTCTTTTAAAAATACAGAAAAATAACCCATATCTCAAATGTGGCCTGACTCAGAAACCTAACAGCATAAGATTACTAAAATGTCATTTCATAACTGAAAATTATTGGATTAACTGGATGTAAGAATCTCATGAGC